ATAGATTAGTCTCCACCAGACTCCTTTTGCAGGCTAAACAAGTAAATTCTGAGATTTTATACCTCCGGGCTTTTTATTGTGTATTCTTATATGTTGTTTGTTATGAATAGTTGATGGTGTTAAATTTTATGTGTTAGATTTAGAGTTCCAGGTTGTGTTAACACAGGGCAACATTTTCATCTGCAGTTTATTGTACCCATGAACTTATGAAATTCTATTTAATCGGCCGCAAGGAACTCGTAATGAAACTCAGAATGACAACCGGAACCGTTAAATCAGACGTTAAAACCACAAACATTTTGATCGAAAACATAGTGACTGGGTTCCGAAATGTCACATACAGAAGCTTGTTGCTTATAGTACGTCAAATATACAATGGTTTACAAGAAGTTGTAGTAATATAGGCACGTATGCAAAATTTGCATAATATCATTTGCATACTTGCTACCTTTACCAGACACCGTGCGCCCTTAACACTTCCGCGTTTGATCCAAGTCAAAAAACACCATAAATCCGCAAAGAAATATATATTTTTACCAATGGTTCTTTGAATTGTGCATATTTTCACTGAATCTGGCTATGCAAACCTGGAAAACAGCGTTTTGGTGCATATTTTTAAACAAAGAATATCGATACCGGACACCCCTCTGGGCGAAAGGTCATGCAAGTGGACGAGACTTGTAATACTTTAAAAACACCAAGGTCAAATGTTGCGACCATTTTCACGCTCAAAGGGGTGTTTTGGGGCCAATAAAGGCACCATTTTCCCGCCCGAAAACACACATACAATAAAAACAAAAGAATGTGCATCATCTACAGCCCAATAGCAAAACATATACCGAGTCCCAAAAGAATCCGTCCACCTAAACGCAAGAAACAGCTGCGAACGTGAAAATCTACATCTCCCACAAAACCCTTCCGCGGAAGGATATATCCTCCCCCGGCGGCAATAAATCGTACAAATCGGCCTAAAAAGGGCATATGATTGGACAGAGGTATTTCCCGGCCATCGAGGGTCCAATTCGTGCAGACGAATTGGTTGCAACCGGGAAACACCTCTGGCCAATTATATGCCTTTTTAGGCCGATTTCCACGACTTAAATCAGCCTACAAAAAGAGCCTGGTGGAGACTAGCCCTAGACATAAGCCCTAAACAACCCACTGCCCCTACGGCCAGAAAAAAAGGTATGGGACTATCTTTACATTTCGCTGTGGCCTCTTACCAGGGATCATAACACAGCAAATTCTAATTTGAGTTTATGTAATTCTAATATACCAAAGAACTGTTTCAACGTGAAACGTTAGATGCTACAAAAACATCATTTTCCCTTCTAACGTGTAAAACGACAGCATCAAATTAAATACATGTGCAGTAGTTTCTGGGGTACTTAGGATATAATACGGCTTAATGAAAGTAAGAAACTGATTATCTACAAAATTAAAGTCGCCACAAATTATTAAAACTTTGTCCTGTTGCTACTCTGAAAATACACTGAAAGTTCTTTCAAGAAATTTCTCCTTTCTGCTCCTTTCACAGGTGCATATACATTACACAATTTAAACTTATTCTTTCCTTTATAAATGTCACAAGATATAACTCTTCCATTCTGGTCTTTAACAGTGTTATTATTGTACCATTTTGTGTTTGGGGGAAAACAAGACACCAACCCCAGCACACCAGCTTGACTTTCCTGGGTTCCAAATAGTATATCCCCCCCACTGTTTGGTCCAAGCCTGTTGATCTTTGCCACTATCAACATAACACTCTTGTAAACAAATTATATCCACTTTCAGTTCTTTCAAGTACCTGTAAATTCCTCTTCTTATGGTTTCATCTTTCATTCCATTAACATTCAAGGTAATGATTTGCAAAGACATGATAACACTGAGAAGAAAGAAAGGAAAGCATCGAAACGGTTCCATTTTGTTTGATAAGATTCTAGTTCCGTGAGACTTTTCCCAAGGACCTCTTCAGGGTGTTGCAGACATGTGGGAGGCTCACTCTGACGGAAACTTACTTAGGTGTGAACACGACGGTGACAAACACCTCAGCGCAATAGGTTTACGTTGGTGGTGGACCTTGTTATGGTTTGCAAACTTTTTGAAAACACACTGAAATCCCCTAAGGCTGCATGGTTTCTCGTCACATTTCATTGCAACATCATTTTTCACCAACTTACTTCTAGAGAGTTTCTCTTTAGCTTTTTTAATCAAAGCGGTTCTATCTAGTTTCTTTTTCTGTGACTGAGGAGTGGAATCCTCACTGGAGTCATTGGCAGGTCTAGATCGCTTGTTTGAATGAATCTTCCATTCCACATCATCATTTTCTCTGTCCCCTTCATGTTCGGCTTGCGGGACACTCCCCTGTTCCAAAGCCTGACTACTACAAGAAGCCGCCATTTTTAAAGGGGAATAAGACAATGTACATTTATCCTCAGTTTTCTTAGCCTCTAATACAGGAATCCTTCTTCATCTCCTAGCTGGGATAGGTTTTTTTAACTTGCGTCTCTTCTACTGAGGAAGACTCAGGGCTTTCAATCGGAACTCTTTGCTCTTCCACTCTGCCCTCCTGACTGGAGGAAGTGCAAGATTCAGTACTGTATTCTGCAGATTTCTTATTCCTATCGCCATCTTTGACTTGTCCTCCTACAATGCTGTTATAACAAGGCAGACATACCATCTTCTCATCTGAGGCACAACCGTCGCAAACCTGCATTTTACACTCTTCGGTTCTTACCTCCTTACCACATGTAGTACACTCTGTCAATTCCTTAACATTAACAGCAAGCTTATACAACCCTCTCTTGTCCTGGGGGTTCTATGCCGTCTTTCTGTTTTCGGTCTTTCTACATCGTTTGTAATTGTATTGATTTATAAAAAAAAGGACCTTGAGTAATCCTTGTCCAAAGGACAAGTGACAGGTCTCCAGCTTCATATGACCGATAGTTCCTACATATGACTGATAGGAACGTAGTACTAATGTATTTGTGATAGGTTCCTGAGGTGTCCGGACGGATGGGCAGTCCCTCGCAAAGTGGCCGAACCCGTTACATGCTCTGCACTGGTCCGCTGCGAGGCCTGAGACGGGCGCATGCAGGGTGACGCCGGTCGAATTCATCGTCGCACTTGGCAAAAATAAGTTAGTAAACGTCGGTGTTTTCCGTGCCGCCTTAACCGTGATGCTCGGCATCGTAGAGCCACAAAATCACGAACGATCGTTATTATAATTACCTTTACGCCACTTGTTGACCAACTCCGCTATGGCCGCCTGCTCAGGGTCACCCACAAACTTATTACCAGGACCTGATAATCTCCTGGCCCGGCCTCTACCGCTGAATCGAACGCAGATGCTGCAAATGCCCACTTACGGGCGTTGGGGTGTGCCGACGATCTAGCATCAGAGGTAATTATAGGGGGCTTGTATAACGATCTTTTCATGCTCTTCTTTTCTGACACCTACCTAATACTAAATACCATAACTATCGATAGCTTATTGAGTTATACTGTTACACAACAAAACCACAAGCAAACACTAATGGCTTGTACGAGAATGTATACGCCAAGAGGTCATTAGAAGTACGGACAGTATAGTGCAAGCGCAACTCCTGAACGAAGAAGCAGGAATAGAACAACCGCTATTGATGCTCAACGATTCGAAGGTCGCTCTCATGATCAACACTGTGCTGAAGGACTAACGACACTTTACATATTCATAGTCTTGTTCAAGGAGTCAGACAGACCTTATGGAAATTCTTAGATTTTACACCATTTACTGCGTCTATCACATTCAAGCAGATCTGAACAAATAAACAGAAAGAAGTAAAGAAAAATCTACCAAGGAAAGATACAAGTACATCTGTAGATTATGACTTGTTAAGCATGAATCCTCGTCAAATGTCTGTACTGTGCATGTCACGTTTATTCAAACGGTTTACACGATATAAGGTACAAATTAAGTTGTACAGATACACCAAAATGATTGCATTGAAACATGATACATTCCAAGCATCGTTATAATTGTATATTTTTGCCCGATGAGCTAAGATCCCCGCACACAATAATACATCAATGAATTCTTCTTATTCATTCACTAGAATATTAAGCAAGAAGCACAATTTATTATGTGTCGCCCTCTACTCAAAAACATAAAACGAGAGTAAAACAATGACAAAATACATACATAATTAAAAGGTGGGTAAAAGAAAAATGAGTATAAACAAGATAGGTTGGTGATCTATAAATTACGAGAATCTACCTGTACAATGAATAAAGTTTTGAACTATATCGAAGACATTACTGTTTTGTGAATGTGAAAGTGATGTGGCCCCCGTAGCAGTAAGGAAAATAAAGAACTGTCATTGAGATGCTGTAACTCTACTTTGTTGGAAAGAGATTATAACAGAGTACTTCCTTGACTAGTATGATGTTTACAGTGTAGAAGGTAGTGTTCAGTTATTTCACCATGATAGCCGCATTTACATCAAGGGATCACATGTATCAATTGCTTCAAACCATCATTGTACATGTATACTCATGTATTGTACATGTACATGCAGCTCAACAGAAAATGTATTGAAATGATTGAAGCACGAAAGTTCATCTGAGTTGGTAACATACATTAAGCTGTTCACCAACTGATCCGGTCGAAAATTCCGCTGAGTCAAATTTCTTGAATACTTGAGAACTGACAAATGACTGATGTGTACATACGTTCAAGTAACTTCTACGAAATACACTACAGCACAAATATTGGCACCTCAGACCTACTAGTACCATCTTCTACTGATAATATAATGCCTAATCAGACCTTGTACATTAAAACAAAGGCATGCTTATCATAAAAGCTTGGCTAGTACAGCAAAGTTATGTTAGTTTAAATAAACATAAAAGTCAATGCCAAATACACTTAAAGCTGTTACATGCTAAGATGTTGAAGTGAACAGTACTACAATTGTACTATTTTATTTCTTCAACAGGCAGACAACAATTCACACACAGACTCAGGGATAGCAGATAAGTTTCCCCAGGGTGTAATAACCTTCTTCATTACGCCCCCGATATCCACCAGTATCCCCGAACCTGAGCTGGGTGACCGGCAGGTCATCCTTGTTGGACAGGAACCCAGAATCCTCACGCCAATGGTCAGTATTACTGTCACAGTAGCACCTACCGTAGCACGCACCTACAGGGAAGGAACAATGAGACTAGATGAGACGATTTTAACTTGTTGGTGTCAAAGCAAAATGGTATATTAGGACAATAATAATCTCTATAAGCGCTGTCTTTGAATCTAGAGAAATATGTGATTTATAACTACTTGTTTGTCCACAGGCACATTTCCCACTCCCAGGACTGGCACCTCCCCAGTAGTCAGCCTGGCGACCGTCCCAAGTCACCCACCAGGCATACCGGCCCTGTTTGCCATGATCGTCCCATAACACCGAGTCGTAGCATTCATACTGGAAATGTGAATTTGTGAAATTCTGAGCAGGATAGCTTAATAATATTTGCAATATCACAGCATGTATCTCTGTTGCCAGTATAAGTGCTCTTGGGTGTAACAAAGCAACTATACTGGCACGCGACCTAATTGTAAACGTTGTTTAAAGCTACCGGTTTCTACTGACGATGTTCAAGTTGTAACTAGTGGCAGCTAGTTCCACTCTACGGTAATTCTAGCTATAGGGACAAAAGTGTTTGTTAACATCTCAATCCTTGGTTGAAATCACTGGACTGATAATCGAGTCTTGTTCGTCTGAGCTTAAGTTAGGAACCTATAGCTAGTAGTTGCTCTCATCCATATAATCAAATCAACATGGCCTTAAGTATCTACAAACCTTAGTAACCTGGCCTGAAAGTCTGAAATGTAAACACTTACCTTGATGTGCTGTTTGCAGAAGCTTGACTGTTCCACCACAGCTCTCACTCTCTCCATGCTGTTCCAGTATGTCACATTCCTGGAGTAGCTACCTGGATTCTCAAACCCTTTCACATGTGTGCGGGCCTCACTGTCGTGGCCAATCAGGGTAATTGCTGAAATTGTAATGGAAAACAAGTATGATTAGGAGCCGTTATTGTTACACATTTGTCTTGCTAGCCTGTTTTGAAATCTATCTGAGGTGGGGAGGCGCCTCCCCCCCTCCCCCAGTGGCATAACTCGCGCCAATAAGGAGCCTTAAAATGCCACATTAATGCTCCCCTCAAGTAAGAATTCGGAGACATCATACATAAAAATATTTAGAGGCTTCTGTATTCTTCCTTGTTTTTGGATTTTTCACATTGATCATGCAAATAACCCGCACATTAACATAATAAATGTATATTGATGTTGACCTTTAACTACATTACACATGTCACAAGTATGAAATGCCCATTATTTACCGATAAAGAATCATGGCATTTTTGCATTTTTTTGCATAATTTGCATCTGTTAATGTTCCACATGCCCTAGATTACAGATGTATGTCGAATTATGTACAGCAAAGGAATGACAAAAGATACAAAATGCAGAAGTTCTGCTGCAGCGCCAAGGTCAGCCACTAGGCGGCCCAGATGTGACCTTGACCTTTGTCTTTCTAATCATTAGACTACCAACATGTCAAATATCAACACAGCCCAAAAGGTCTTCCTAAGTTATATGCTGACCACAAGTATGCGGAACACTCACACTCACACACACACACACACACACACACACACACACACACACACACACACACACACACACACACACACAGACAGGCCGAGAACAAGACGTATATTTTAATGTGGGAAAAAACGCTGGCTCGATAAGAAGTCTACGAAAGTGGATAAAAATCTACATGAAGTTACTTCCCTAAATCTTTTTCCCTTAGTGTGTTTGTTTGTGTGTTTGTGTATGGTTACAAAAAAAAAACAACATTCACGGTTATTTTTTTTATCCAAGATCTTCTAAATTTGATGTGACTTTGACTCTCATTTTGCTGACCTGTTTGCTTCTCAAGATCACACTGAACAAACACTGGCAGGACTCCACGCCCTGGTCCGTCATGAGGGTGGATAATGTAGCGTGTCTTGTTATTAATTCCACCTCTCTCTGCAACTTCAGTGCAGCTAGATGGCGGGTATACGTCATCTGTTAATGAGAATACAAAATATATGCGTACTGAAGTTATATGAAACAAACTTGTCGTATTCTTTGAATGCACTAAAATGTGCACATGCAAACACTACCTATAGGCGAAGGTAACAAATCAGTTTATATGTTATGATTTTATACACAGAAAGAAATGCACTTTTACCCGCTTTAACACTGTCCTTTCCAGGTGTTCCAGGTAGACCTTGCGGACCAATGGGCCCAGCTGCCCCCCTTTTCCCAGGTGGGCCAGGTGGCCCGACAGGACGACCGTTGGCTAGCCCTGTGGACCCCCTTTGTTCTGGCGGTCCAGACGTCCCTTTAAACACTAAGGAAAGCAAACGCAATAGGCAATCATTTACTGATATTGTATTGGCCCAGTTTCGTCTTCTTCTCCAAACACATGACCAGACGTCTATGGTAACGAGTGCTGTAACAGACACCCTGTGGTGTTGGGTTACTTTATGTAGCAGGGCAGAACAACTGGAAGTACTTGTCACTATGTACTAGTATATGGATGTGTTTGAGGAACATTAAACTGAGCAGTGGTTTGTCACGATAGACCATGTGATGGTAAATATTATGCATTTGCTTTGCAAATGGTACCTTTCTAGTCACAGTTGAACCAATTTGAAAACTACGTTAGTTTTAAACAATGGTATGAAATGGGAAGGATACGAAAAAAATTTAGCGGTTCGTCTATATCATATCAAAGTTTTAGCCCAGGAAATTTAAAGCGCCGGACTTTCTATACCGGCCCCGGGGGTGTTACGCATTAGCAAAAGTCCTCCAGGGACGTCCCCAGAGTCGGCCTGGCAAGGGCTGAGGTCAGCCTCGGGTGACCTATATAACCGTCCCCGTCTATCCTGTCAATGCAATTTAACCTGGAGAGAATTCAAATAAAATATGTAGCCTAGTTTACAATGGAAAAATATTCCAAAAATATTGTAGGTTGTAGTTATTTACTGGTTATTTCTCGGGTCGGCGACGCGGTTTGGCTATGTTCGTTTTCTTGTGGGGGACCACCGGACCATCTGTTGGTCACAATCTACCATTTCAACAACAGGGCTTCTCTATTTCCTCTCCGCACAACCCATAGAAGATTCCAGGGAAAACCATACTCAAACTCTTCTTCTCCTTTCTTATCGCTAAAGCCACTGTTCAAGTCTATATGAGTTCATTCACACCACTTTCTTCCAGTAGTGACCTGGCCATTTACCCAGATCAGTCCCAGGACACAGTATTAGTTTGTTCTTGATTAAAACAAAGTTTGTGATCTTATATATATCCTGATGTATTACGATACGATATACACTTATGTACTTTGTACTTCACAAAACTGCACAAATGTGTTTGCTAACGTTGCAAGGAATACAGGAAACCTACTAGCATTATACGTATTCCAGATGTTCCATGACAGGGGACACATCGAACTGTCACATTAGCGCTAGTAAGCACGCCCGGGCGGCAGGTACCCCACCCCCCTGGTGCACGGGGCCAGTACCAAAGTCTGTCTGCGAAACTTTGTTATGGCGAAGAAGTAAAGAGAAAATCATTTCGATTGCCTTTGCAGTTGTTTTATTGCAAATATAGTTTTTGACTAAGTGTTGTTAAGAATATGTAATTCATCGTATTATGCGTATTGTGTTTTGGAATACTGAAATAATGTTTGTTTTATGATGATATGACTCACGTTCATCTAGTTCATTGAGTCGCAACTCCATCGTATTGAACCGGTTGCCCATCTCTGAAGAAAGTTTTGTCACCTGTTTGCTGACTTTGACTGCGTTAAAGAAGTGAGAGAGAGAAATGTACGGTCGCTGCGTTCCACAGTATCCGATGTTATAATAGTACGGCATATCTGTTACTCAAAGGAACACCTCTACTGTTGTCTGAACTCAACACTCAAATTCTCGCTATCACACAGTTATACTTATCTGAAACTAAGTGATTTCTTGACTGATTCATTTATACTCTATTCCGATAAATCACCCTAATTCTTTAATTCTGTTCCTCTTTAGCGCACTTTACCTATTTGATATGTTTGCCTTGTGTCATGATTATTATTTTAAGTCCATTGGTGGGTTGAGTACACTATGTACTTTTGTTTAAATGTTGAAAGACTAAAAGAAATTTACGCTGACCTGCAAAATATGGCAATGAGAATGCCAGTGGAAGGACAATGACGCTGAAGATCTTCAACCTCTTCCTGATGAAATCCAGACATCTCTTCTTGTTTGCTTCCGCATCGTTGGATGCATCTGTAAGAGCAACGAAGCCTTTCTATATCTCTGGCGTGTCCCTAGCCTGGTATCCAGTCGAGGTCGAGGTTGGTGTAGGGTCTTCGGTGCTCTAATAGATTTCCCTCGCCCAGCTCAACTGGTCACCCGGGGGAGTGTTACGCCTTTATGACATTTGCTGAGCGGATGTGTTTTGTGCGCCAGGAGTAGCCCCACCACAATATTGAACTGCCTACGTGCAAATCTACCGGGTAGGGTAACCTAGCTGAGTCTAGCGGCCGAAAAACTCATTCAGTCCCGAGGAGAATCCGCCCCAAACGCGTTAGACTGGACACCGGGCTAGCTTAGCCCTGACTAGTAGACATATAACAGTGGTAAAATATGCGATCAATGGATCCACATAGGTCTAAATAGAAAACTAACATCAACTTGCAGGAGGAAGAAACTGTTATGTTGAAACGTCCAGGTTTGAAATTACCCAAATATTCTCATATGTGAAATACCACGTATACGTGTTTGTTGTTTTTGACTCAGTGAATATGTAATTCATCGTATTATGCGTATTGTGTTTTGGAATACAAATAGATATTGGATCTTAACCGTTTCCAGTAACTTCTAGCTTATTGAAAAATTTAGTGTACCATGCCTAGTTTTAGAGCTAATGTTGTTACATTAGTATTGATCTGTACTGCCTGTACCTGTGTACCTTTGCATCTGTTTACCTGTACTTATCCCGATATGGCATGAATATACAATACACGTCATATATATTTTTTATCTTTAATATCAGAAATTTGGCACTTTTTTCAACGTCTAGAGGTATGCACCCTGGTCTAATTGTCCCATTTTTATGGTGATGTTATTGCAATCGCTTGTATCTGTGTACACCCCAGTACATTAATGAAACATTCACGGTTTTGCTTCTGTACACCATCGTGCTTGTAATTATAATAAAATGGACCCGGACATATGAACACGTTCTCTGAAACCGCCCAGGGACTTGCTTCTCATAAATATAAAAGGCATCGCAAACTAGATAGTAATACATATAACTCAATTTTAAATTTAAAATATTTCTAGGCATTTCTAACTAGATAATAATACATATAGCTCAGTTTTAAATTTATTCTGCCAAATGCAACACTTCTAAGAAAGGAACGATAAAGCTGACAAGTCTTCTATCTGACAAGCAATAGGCGACAAATTTTCCACGTTATACAGAGTCACGCTACCTCCTTTGGCAGTCTCCCCAGCCTTCGGCTGTTTCTGTCGTCCCAACATGACGGCACCTGTCAGGCTCCTGGGCAGCTGAAGGACGGACTGGGTCTGAGCGCTTAGAAATGTACACGGCGCCTTTTTAGTCAAGGCAGTCATAAATACATATTAAGTATGTATCAGCAAACATCTTGCTTTCGATTGGTTGAGACCCAATCTAATTTTGGATGTACAAAATTAAAACCTAAAGAGAAATATGAATAGCGTACAGGGCAGACTGATTACACAAATTGAAATACCCATAGGCATGACAATATAGTCACGTTTTCTGCTACCATACGCTGATCTTTATTTGGATATTTAGAAGAAAATCCCGCTGGCGAATAAAAGAAATTCCAGCCAAAAATATAATAATGCTACTATACCACAGAAATACAAAGCTAGTATTGTGGATTTGCGTTAGTACGTAGCGACGTATACGATAAGCCAGCGCATGCTGTCTTTTTCCGGAGGTTAATACTTATGAATCGGCACTGTACGTAATACCGTCCTATGTACTGAGTTATTGAGTCGTGGGGCTTCGGTAGCCTGGGTTCCGTCATCCAGAGTTACCGCCGACCCTATATTTGTCGCTAAAGCGACGGTCACAACACGCCGTACGTGCTTCTGCGTGCTGTCTACGTGCAAAAACGTGGGCAAACGCAGGGCATCCGTGCGTGGTGAGTACCACCTCCGTACGGAATCCTACGGATTTTATAGCACGCAGACACGCCGTAGAACTTAAGTGCATGTAAAACTTTTCCTGCGTGCGGTCTACGGATTCACCACCCGTGCGTGCGAGTACTAGCGACGCGCGTGCCCCGTACGTGCCGTACTGAAGAAGCGCGTGTGAGTACGGCCTCCTTACGTTAAAGTTCCAATCGCACAGAGATCGTACGTTGTAAGCACGTACAACTCACTTACCACTTGCGCAACGTACGATGTACGCAACCGGTCACAGCCAGACTTGGCGTGCAGACCCATAGCCATCGCTTTAAGCGTCGGTCACAACCCGCCGTGCGTGCTTTTTTCCCCGTACGTTTTATTGGGAGGCCACGTCTGCTACGTTTTTCTGAAAACGCGGGGAAGGAGTGGCGTCAACGCACGTCACTCGCACGGTTGCGCAAGGTGTAACAGTGTGGTCTGCACCCACGCCTGGCCGTGAGCGGTTGCGTACATCGTTCGTTGCGCAAGTGGTGAGTTGTACGTGCTTACAACGTACGATCTCTGTGCGATAGCCACTTAACCGCAAGGAGGCCGTACTCACACGTGTTGCTTACGTATGGTATGTACGGGGCACACGCGTCGCCCGTACTCGCCCGTACGGGTGGTGAATCCGCAGACCGCACGCAGAAAAAGTTTTACGTGCACTTAAAGTTCTACTTACGGAGGTGGTATTCACTACCTACAGGTCCCCTACGTTTGCCACGTTTTTACGCGTAGACAGCACGCAGAAGCACGTACGGCGGGTTGTGACCGACGCTTAACCCAGGCCTAGACTAGAGCCAGGCCAGAGAAAGGCCAGAGCCTCGGAGGACGTGATTTTTTTTTTGACAACAGGCGAAAATCAATACGCTCTAGAATGTTATTCATAAGAGTAAGTCGGTGTGGCCTTATCTATCCCTATATCCTCTTCAATTGAAGGCGTCCACCTAAAATTCTAAACGGTCCTTAATGTTCCAAAATCGTCTTGTAACCTTGCGGTGATGGCCGAGTTAGGGAGGTATCCCTTTAGATTAGAAGCGTCTCCCAGCGCCTCTGAGCTGAGTGACCTCATACAAAACGTTAAGAACCCTTCAACAAACTCGGCATCATCCTTAAATCGATATCGAATCTTAACTTTAAAGTGCTTAAGAACAGCCTGATGCAGAAAAATTGGTAGATCACCACTTCTACCCAGGAGATTTTTTACAAGCTGAAACCAGCCCTCACCATTCCAGGGAGACGCCATGGAGACACAGAAGGGCGCCGCGTCAATCTCTAGCTCTGTACATCCTCAGCTACGGAATCCTTCAAAATCAACGGGTAACGGAGACCCTTGTCGGTCAGTACCTAGTACTTGTTACAGTCTTATGTGAAGACTAAAGAAGCGCAGTATTCAACCTACTTTGATATTTGTGAGTATTTTCGCCCCCCCCCCTCTGTTTTGTTTTGCAGTACCATTCGTTTGGCGGGGAAATCGAATTCCCAGGTGTGCGACTAAAACTGTGACTTCGTTCTAGAAATCAACTCTACATCCAAACTCTAAAACCAAAGGCCACAAGAAGGAAAACGGTGAGTTCGTTCTATTAATTTAATAGACACTCATTCAATTTTTTTACCATGCCGCGCCGTCAGAAAAGTAAAACGGAAGACGATGTTGTGTCGGAGTAATGACAGAGAGGATGAGAGCACACTATGAGGATCTCCTAAAAAGACAAGAAGCAATTTTCCAATCCTTTACACAAATGCTAATGGTCTCTTGCAAATAATCGTATTGATGCCCTCGTGCGAGAAGTGCAAGAACTGAAAACATCACTGCAGTACTCTCAAGCTGAAATCGACTCGCTCAAGTCCTCACTAAGGAAACCCAGTCTGATGTTAATACACTGAAAATCACTGTAGAGTCAGTGAAGATCCCAACAAGATATGCCAGAACTTAGCTTCTCCAAGAAAATTGAAAATTAGAGTACACGGAACAATATCATCGTGGACGGAGTAGCCTGTTGGCGACAGTAATAATGAAACCTGGGCGGAGTCAGAAGAAAAGGTGCCTAACATCCTATCCAAGAACTTGAAACTAGTCCCTAAAACAATCGCACAGAAATGGTCCCTACAGAAGAGATTCCACACGACCAAGACAAGCAGTCGTATTAAAAGCTCTTGCGCTACAAGGATAAGCAGCAGCTCATTCTCAGTAGAGCTAGATCGCATTTGAAGCTACAGCAATTATCACCATACCTATTGCATGTTTACGATCTTCTACTCGCACCTTGCTCATTTCAATGTCATTATAATATTAAAATGAGATCTTTGCTGGGGGAAAGAAAGCGCGTCTTAGGTACACTGAGCACACCCATATTCATCAACGAAGACTTTTCCGAACTAGTCAGAAAACGGCGTGCTGAGCTTGTACCATTGAAAGCTGCGCGACAACGCGGAGACTGTGCAGTCATCACCTCATGATGACAGACTTGTGGGATCTTGTGGTCAGGAAGAGAAACGAAATGCAAAAATAGCAATGTTTGTTCATGAAATTGTTGTTTGTATTGTACATGTATAATTTATAACCTCATGTATGTCATCTACATCACTACTGTTCATTGTAAAGACGGAACTCAGACATGTTGTCCTCAATGCAACTACAACAAGCGAGAGTGCCGCGACGGGAATAACATTGCCGGGGTTTCTTGTTCTTGCTGTAGGAATGCATTTCACAAACACTGCACTCCCATTACCAAACGAAACCAAGAATGCTGAGAATCTTGGATATGTTCTGAATGCTGTGTGCTATTTCCTTTCTGTTCATAGTATCAAATACATTATAATGTCCTTGATAGTATGAATATCACACTCCCTACTTTCGGACAAGATGGCAGTCTGCAAAATCGTTCAAACCTGCTCAAGCTTACTGTAACGGCTTTCCCGACAATCGTATTTTATGGATTTTTGAAAAATGCGCTCGATTTTGAATTATGGGTAATTGTGGAAGAAATTGTGAAAAAGCCCCCAAAATCCAATTTTTTCATCTATTTGTCGACAAAAACTATACTTAAAGTCGGAAATTTAAAAATTCCTAGACCACGACTTTTCATCTTGTTCCTAGTCGTCGAAAAATATAAAAATCGGGGATCTTGCGTAATATATGTAGCCACATTTGAACGATGATTGGCTAGAATATGGCGGCTCCGACTTTCCTTACTAAAAAAATCACCCATTTTACGCAAAAATTACCATTAAATGTATGTAAAGACGAAAATTTTATGTTATCCATGCTGTGGACTAATGTTGTGTAGAACGATGTTTCCTAAAACCCCATACAAGCCTCACGGCTTTCACTATGCTCCACCGCGGTACCGAATATCCCCCTCCAGACAGAATGTATCTATTCGCCGCCATAAAGTAGTGCGAGAAAAACAAGACAAATATACTGAATATATTGTTAACTTGACGCGTTGGCTACACATATTGGTATGAATATTCTGTCTTGCCGGGGTAGTAATACTTTTCCGCTTTATGTAGTCTTGTGACCTCCAGATGTCGTAGCGGATGGATATAATTGGTATCCTGCGATCGTCTGGAGATTACAGCGTCAGTGCAAGGCGGCTTTTGTGAGGTAAGGTTCCTTATTCGCTTGTCCGAAAATGTGTCAAATGCACAAATGTCGCACAGAATAGCTGTTTCTATGTGTACTACTACTGTCTACTAGTATTGGGGTTTGTAGTTGTTGCTGGTGAGGACCGTCCTTTTTGTAAGGGTCACTCATGCCGTTTATGTAAAGTCTTACTAGTAGTAGTACCACCAGATAATTTCGTGGCGTGGGGATCACATGTACCAGGATAAAACGGTTGTTTTGATCGAAATGCTCGCGAAACTCTCGCTAATGCTTGCAAAGGAGTCTTTGTTGCTTCCTGTGCCGGATAATGTAGCTGTGATGTAGTATCTGGGGTATTTTTTACGACAGTTTCTCTTGCATTTTGTCCGGGTTCTTAGTTTGTTTGTTTGTTTGTCTTAGTGTAAAATACGCCGTGAATTATTGATGATTACAGTGAGCACAAACAATTCGAAACTTCCAGCTTTGCTACTGAGTTAGGTACACAGATACTAGTAACTGCATACACAGTGTAAAGTTCTATGAGCCCCGTGCTTACTAGTATATCGTCATCATGAGGTTGAAAACAAAACTGTAATGGGCATTTATAGTCTGGTATCTCCTGCCTATTTTGTTAACTCTAAGATGTCAGCTAGTTTGGTGGAGATTTTAGATACAAGAGTTTATGAAAGTTGCATTGTAATAATTTTACTATGCATGTATGTATTGTGTAAATGAAGATGTTTTTTCTTTTGTTCAGGTCAACCGAGGGAGGATTGTGACAAGATGGACGTGTCCGCCTGGCATATGGGTCTGGTGATCCCTGTTTACATCAAGATAAACCATCTCAGAATCCATACCAGAAACACTGAGAAAACACAATCATTCTATAACAAAATCATTTGTTCATTGAAATTTGACACATCTTGATGGTTATTTTGGGTGATTAAAGAGCAAACACTGAATGGAAATTTAAAATGGCAGAACATCCACCTTACTTGGGTGTGTTAGTCAGGTTATCTTTAAAAGCTGTCAAGCCTCTTGGAAACCCAGACCTCGGGGATTGAGCCTCTGGCTCAGTGGGGGCTTGTTCAGCTTAGTTAGATAGGTTTGTTGGATGTTAATGCCTCAAGTCAATTTCACACGTTTGCTCTTGTCCCTAAGTATTTGCTACATAAATATGTAAGGCACACTATGATAATGAATGATTGACGTTTAGTTACTTAAAAGTTCTGTTCAGTCGGTCGTTGTTGAAGGCTGTCGGTATGCTCAATCTATTGGTTGGGTTAAGCGGTCACATACATGGAACTAGGCTAGGCGTGTGCCTCCCCATCCTATCATAGATGAACAGTATCGTCTAAGAAAAAAAAATTGGGGCATGGGGCGTACACAATGGTAAAAATGCCACAGTCACTGCCATTTTCTTGTTGTTGTACAGCAACAACCCTGCACCCACTGACCACTTCACGTGACCCTCTACCTCTCTATTAGGAAAGTTGTGATAGAGGCTGTCGTAGAAATTGACTGCTCCATCATTACCTTGGATAGTGCTTGTGAATACCCGGTGACTGTTTCCAGTATGGAGGGTTTGGATGAATACATGTCTGACTGTTGAAAAATTGCGGCATGCTCTAAAAGTAGGCCTCAGTAAACCTTCCATTGGTGAATCTATCTTTTTGAGTAGGACACACTAGTCCAA